TAGTGCTCTCTGAGCTGGGTGGTTTCCTTGCAGACGTTTCATGAGCCAAGTAGGGAATATTATCAGTGCTAGAAGGGAGTGGGTTGGAGGAGGAGGAAGGGGAGGAAGAAGGGGAGGATGAGGAGAGGAAAAAGAAGAAGAGGAGGAGAAGGACAAGAAGAAAAAGGAGAAGGAAGAGAAAGAGAAAGAAGAGGAGGAGGAGGGAGGATAAGGAAAAGGAGGTAAGAAGGTGGTTTGATGGATGTACCCATTTCATGTATTCACAACTATGTATACACTTATACTTATTATCTTGTAAACAATTGGCAAATCAAATAAATAAATAAAATAAATAAATAAATAAAACCTCTCGATCCCAGGTGCTGCAGGGATGGGGTGAATGGCAGGCTTGGCTTGGCAAGACCGCACAAAAGCATTTCCCCCCTTTTCAGTTTCCGAAGCGGAAAGGTTACACTTTTGAGCTAAACTCGCACCCAGCGTCTCCTGGGCCTCAGAAATGGGGAGAACCTCCTTCCTGAAGCCCCCTCCCCTCCCCTGCACGCTATTTTAAAATTTTAAAATCAAAGGCACGTTTGTTAACAGTCGTGATTGGAGAAACGCAGGTTAAACACGGCGCTGCCGACAAGGGTAAGGGGCTGCAGGAAGGAGGTTCTGCCCACTTCTGAGGCACAGGAGGTGATGGGTGCGAGTTTAGCTCAAAAGTTTAACCTTTCAGCTTCGGCTCCAGTCCTGCCAAAGACTTGAAAGCCACCTGGGTGACTTTGGGCCAATCGCCAGAAGGCGGAATTCCCACCTGAGCACAAACGGTGGCTGGTGAGTTTGGGGGAGTCACCAGGAGACGGTGAGTTCTAGTTCTGACTTAGGTATGAAAGCCAGTTGGGTAAATTTGGGCCAATCACCAGGACACAGTGAATTCTAGTCCCACCTAGCACAAAAGGCGGCTGGGGACTTCAGGCTCATCACCAGGAGACTGGGAGTTCTAGTCCCACCTTAGGCATGAAAGGCAGCTGGGTGACTTTGGGCCAATCACCAGGAGACGGGGAGTTCTAGTCCCACCTAGCACAAAAGCCGGCTGGGGACTTCAGGCTCATCATCAGAAGACAGTGAGTTCTAGTCCCGTCTTAGGCACAAAAGCCGCCTGGGTGTTTTTGGGCCAACCACCAGGAGGCGGGGAGTTATAGACTATTTGTAATCCTGTTCACAACCCATTTAGGCCGAAAAGAGTAGAAAAGAAAAAGGAGAAAGAATTTGATTCTAAAATCTAGATATAATATAGCAGAGGAAGCAGAGTTGGGAATAAGGCAAAATAAAATATTGAGCAGGGAAGCCGAAACAGAAAAGGGATGGGACGGCCCACAGGCTACGTGTTGGGGACCAAGCCCTGACCACATACAGCAGAGTTCTCCAAACTTGGCAACTTTAAGACTTGTGGACTACAACTCCCAGAATTCTCCAGCCAACAGGCAAATTATGACAAAGAGTGGGATTAAACTTTCTTAACAACCTGTTCTGGGGGCATGGCCTAATATGTGGGTTTAGCTTGATGGTCAAGTGACTGGCTGGGCGTGGCTTGTATGTAAATATTATAAATATTTATGTAAATATAGAATTTTATATTTAAAAAAAAGAGCAACTTTTACCCAGAACCAGGCAAAGCAGGCAGGCAGATTGAGTTGCTTACAGAATCACAGATTCACTCAGAAATCTACTTTTCTGCAATCTGCCGCCTGAGTCTGCACTGAAAGGAAGGTTCATCTCTGCTTTTAGATTAGCTAGAAAGCAAGAAATCCAACCATTTCCTGCTTTCCAGTTAATTAAAGCTCCCAGCATAGCAGAACAGCTGATGGTCAGGGGGAGAAAAAAGGAAAAATAGTAACTTACCAAATGCAAGCAAGTTGGATGATGCGTATGCCTGGTAAGCAGTGAGTAGACAGGGAAGGGAAGGGAGGGGCCAGCCAGGGGCACAATTTGCTGGTTCTCTGAACTGCGTAGAACCGTAACAACCGGTTCCATAGAACCGGTCCGAACCAGTAGAATCCCACCCCTGACCCTGACGTACATGGTCCTTCTCTTCCTCTCTAGGGTCAGCCCAGGCGGGTCAAGAGATTCAAGAATTTTTTCAAGAAGATCAAGACAGGCATTAAGAAAGTTATCAAGAAAACCAAAGAGGCCTTTGCTTCCCATTTCCGCTGGTAGTAACGGATGAGGATCCAGAAGGGCCCCCATCCCAGAAGAACTTCCGATGGGACGAGATGGGGGTTCTCCCTTTTTTCTCTTCTTAAACCTACGTTGAAGAACTGACCCAATTCGGTCCGGCTGAATGATTAAATCGGAATTTCCTCGGCTTGGTTGTACGTTTTCCCTGCGTTTTTGCAGCGCAATTGATCGACCCACAAAATCGTAACTCTGAGGCGATCTCGGAGAACCCAAACCCAGGAGGTAGTCCTCGACTTACGACCATTCATTTAGTGACCGTTCCAAGTTACGTTGGCCCGAAAAAATGTGATTTATGATCCTTTTTTCACATTTGTGCGTCTCCTGCAGTCATATGTATCGATTGGCTCAACTTACAACGGTCCACTCAAAGTTACAACGCTGTTGAAAAAAAGGACCAGTTTTCACCCTTACAACCGTTGTAGCCTTCCCAAGGTCACGTGATCAAAATTCAGACACTTGGCAGCTGACTCGTATTTATGCCGGTCGTAGTGTCCTGGGGGGGGGGTCACGTGATCCCCCTTTGGTGATTTCCTGACCAGCGAAGTCAATGGGGGAAGCCAGATTCGCTTAACAACCATGTGACTAACTGAACAACCGCAGTGATTCACTTAACAACAGTGGCCAGAAAGGTTGTAAAGTGGGGCAAAGCTGATTTAACAATGATTTGGTTTAGGAAGAGCAACGTTGGGCTCAGTTGAAGTCGTAAGTCGAGGACTACCTGCAATATTCCTCTCTTTTCTTCTTCCCTTTTCTCCTTTTTTCTGCTTAAATGTTTTGCAGAGTGTTTACCCTTTTTTCCCAAGTGACCTCTTGATAAATTAAATAAGAGGAAGACAACTGTTTTAATTTCTTAATCTGTGAATCCAGAACTCCTGAAAATTTCCCAGTTCTTTAAGCAAACACGAGGCCAGGAACAAGGAGGTACTGTCTGTAGCTTCTCACTGTGGTTTTTGGAATCTCCTCTAACCAAATGATTCACTGATTTGTTTTCTGATTACGGTTCCATCAAGCCATTGTTGAATCTTAGCCAACGCCTTGATGGAGTTTCTCCTTCTGTTCGCTTTAATCCTTTAATGCAGCCACCTGTTAATGCAGGCACCTGTTTTGCAACAGGAACTCTGGGCGAGCTTCCAATTTAACACTTTATCAAACTAACAAGGCATACCATTGCAATCATCACAAGGCATACCAAGGACAACAACAGCCACAATAATACAGTAGCACTCAACTCGGGACCTCACTTTTGTACATGTTATTTAACCTGCCTTTATTGTTTTTAGAAATAATACAAGGCAGCAAATATAGCTAATATTTTTTTTCTCTTCCTATTTCCTCCACGACTACATCCTTGGGAGGGAGGTTGAGGATAGCCCAAAAGAGCTTTCAGTTAACTTTCATACCTAAGGTGGAACTAGAACTCACCGTCTCCTGGTGATTGGCCCAAAGTCACCCAGCTGCCTTTCATGCCTA